TTTTTTTTTTTTTGTTTTCAGAAATAGTCGGTAACTGTCCTCTACTCTCGTCGTCAACTCGGGTTCAGTTTACATCGTCACCTGCAACAGAATTATGCTACTATAAAATACGGGTAAATACAAATGGATTGCAAAATTGGATGAAAATTTATTGGCAGAGAATTGTTCTGTAGACATTCTTTTACACTACTAATGTTATACAACTTGGCTTTTTGTACATCGGTGAGCTGACATACACAGATTTAGGAACCTATTAGTGGGTCTTATGCCATCGCAAATGCGGAGAACATTTGCTTGAAATTAGGTGGATATCACGTTCTGTCGATTGAAAGTGAAGAAGAAATGGAATTTATAAGAGGTTAGTGGGAAAGATGAAATAAAAAGTAAAAAACATCTTTCATTTTGTTTACAAGTTTAACTGCAAAAAAAATTCTCTATTGTTCTTTACGGTATATTCGTAAATAATGTTATAAAGTCAAGTTTTTAATTTGTTAACTTTTTACAGATATTTAATTACACTTTCTGAAATTACAGAACACCATTTCAAGCAGTTAAAAAAGGACAACAAAACGAAATATTTCTTGACTGGTTTATCATCATTTAATGGAACATTGCGATCTATTGATCATTCATCATTGGAATATATCAAAAAAAGGTTCGCTGCTGATGGGATAGAATATAGACGAAACGGATGCTATGTGCTTCGTGTAAAAATGTTTGATAAAGGTAATAATTTGAGAATACTTCTGAATAAAAACATAAAAAAACAGTTAAAAACTGAAAAATAAAAAAGTTAGAAATTATTGAAGTCCAAGTCCACTTGTTCTTCAGTAGTGCTCTGTACTGAAAGATGATAATAGCTGCTGTTTAAGCTTTTTTTCTTGCTTATTATGTTTTCGTTTTAAAATAATAGGAATATATTTGACATCATAAATTATCAGTCATTGGTAATAGTTTATTCATGCTACATAAACGAGGAATTGTTGTAAGCGGAGGTTGCCGACAAATAAGCTGTAACGTCGCATCTTCTCATTGGTTGTCGTCTCAATCACGAAGATATTAATTGTATGGCAGCTTCTGCGTTTTGTATCAATGCTTGTGAATGGTTTTCAGAGGAAATTATTCAAGTTCCATGCCGACATTTGCCGCCAAGTTATGTTATCTGTCGACGACAGTGTTGTGATTCTGGTCGACAAGAACAGGTTTGCTCAGACAAAACTGAAATGTTGGGAAGAATTACAAAATTATTTTACCTTTTACTAGTCCTTTTTGTTCTGGTTTTTTTTATCATACATGAGTCAGCCAAAGGAAATATATGTTTTGTAAAAAAAATACTGTAGAACATTTTTTTCCCGTATGTTACTTCTGTCTTTGGGCTTTAGCTACACAATAGTTCCTAAGCTAATCCAAAATGTAATTTAAAATTAAAGACGCAGTAATCAAGAATAGGGTTGAAAAAAGAAATTTATTGAAAAGTGTTGCTTTTTTGAGTAGAAGCTTTGCTTCTAAAATAGTTTACAAAGAAGCTAAACGTGCCACAGCTACCACAGCGTCTTCTTACTTTTTCTGCAAGTAATAATTTGATATTTTCAATTAAAATTTCAGTGATGTTAGGTTTTATTACTGGTGACAGAACTTTACTAATTATTTGTGCATTTAGGCAGGAACAAACTCAAGCAGTTTCAAAACATTTCCTCAAACCGTTTTTTTTTTGTTGAGTATACTTAACAGCAAATTTTTACACTTGATTAGATAAGCCATTTCAGTTAAGGCATGAGAAGCATCAATTTTCCGAGTGTATTATCATTTTCAGAATTTAACGTAACCTCCACCTTTTGAGAAATACCAGTGAAAGACTTGCAGAAACAACATCGAAGGTCGAGAGGAAGGAACGACGGGGAGGGGGTGGGGATAATAGCCTTGATAGTTTGAACGGTTATACCTGGAGAATTCAGCAGTTTACAAAAGTCAAAAATTTTTTTTTGAAGCGTAAAATATGTCTTAATATAACTCATACAAATTTTGAGTCGGTTGAATGGGATACTTACTATGTATTATTTCTCGGACCACTTTAATAGTTTTCTGTTTAGGACCATTACGTGACAGGCGAAGCGGCTGCTATTTATGGAGATGATCTGAATGAGATTCGTCATCGTAGGACGCGACGTGATGTTGCAGGAGCCAGTGATGATGGTATGAAGCTCCATTTCTTATACTATAAATCATTTTAAAAAACTAAGTTGGCTTTCTTACAAGCTCAGGTAATTGGCAGGTGCTTTTTGTCCTTAACAGTGTTGTCATCCATGGGTCAACATTAAACAAAAACTTTAAACCCGCTTTGTTTAGTGATAGAATTTCATCAGAATTTCTTCCAACTCACTTAAGATCCTGTGCAATCTATGGACTGTTTTTAAAAAAACTTTTCAGCGAGCACATCACTGACTACGTTCATAATTTGTTTTCTCGTTGGGTTCTGTTTTGGAAGTATTTGCGTAATCTGTGCTTTCAAACGCAAGGAAATATCAAAAGCTCTTAATAAGAAGTCGGATAGCAAAGAAGCTGAAGAAGGGCAAGGAGGAAAAGAAGAAGAGGAAAAAGCGGAGGACGCAAAAACAGAAGATGCAGGAAAGGGAACGAGTAGTCCTCCTCCCGCTCCCCCTCCTCCGTAGAGTTCGATCTTCTGGAAACATTCGGTTTTTCTGCACTTACTGCTAGACTGTGTTCAAACTGTCAGCTAGTTACATTATCTTCACTGTTATGGCAAATTTACTGCTTGAATTTCCCTTAAAAGAGTCATTGTAAGACTTGCACTGACGCCATTTTAAACAACAACTCTGCATTAATTTAATAAATCTGATTAAAATTCCATTTTTACCGTCTCACACTTCCTGTAGTTAAATTAAAGAAGAAGAATGTTTTTCATTCTCCTCACCTCACTACAGACTTCAGCGAGAGAGACTACGTGCTTTATGTTGAACTGATAATATGGCCGCAGTAGTAGTAAGCGGCTTTTTTTACTGATGTCTTCCAGAAGGACAGAGCTAAACTGAGAAAAGAAACTGCGGCTTTGAAGGATCCAAACTTGTTTTTGATATAACAGTATTGAGGTTCTGCAACGGTGTATGACTTACCGAATATTTTTTTTCAATTCTTTCATGTTTTCACTCTCCGCTCTATTTGTTATATCGAGACTGTAGGCATACATAATGTTCTTGCATTCCTTGTTAACGGATTGCGTATCATTTAAGCTTCGTTAATTGATCGTATCGGTAATTGGTCATTGTTTACTGTTTGTTATTGGCATTTTGCTGTTTGTTTGATTCGATTTACTTTAGTATACTACTGGTACTAAGAAGAAAATAAACAGGTTGTTTTTGGAGGGGAAACAGTACTTTTAGTTTGAAAAAAACGAAGGCATTGCGGAAAATTTGAAAGTTGAATATTGACAAATTAGACTGTTTTGCGAGATTCAA